GCCTGCGAAGTTTAGCACGTATCGCCGTAGAAACATACATATCTTCTACACAGACTGATCGATCAAACGGTATTAAACGAACGATATGGTTCTTTATAGTTGAAGTGTATCCTGTCCGATATTCAAAACAAAAGATTTATTTTATAACGGGATCCTAGCTTTGTCTTTGATTTCCCAAACATCGCCAACATGTGTAAACAATAGTGCTATTCTAAAAGCACAGGGTTAAAACCCGTTATGGACTGGCTATAAAATTCATTTCATTTACATTGTTGAAACTCAACGATCAAGAAAGATAATGTCGAAGTGTAGCTAGCTATCTGTTATCACACAAACGCCAAGACTCCGTACATGCGTTTCCGTGCGTGCGATACAACTTGAATATCTAGGACGATATATGCACCAGACACTGGTATTGTACTTTATATAAATTAATTCATATTTTGTATATACAGTAATTTGCAACATGTATAATATTAGACCTTTCATTGACATTGGCATTGTCCATTGAGGGCTTTATTGAAGAATAATCCAGCTTCTTTAGACTTGTATAATGGATTAATGCCGCTGTGAGTTATCAATATTTAAATCAACTTTAATCTTTATCGTATACTGGAATCGACATTTTAGAAGTTTAGTCTGTTTTACCAAACAATACTGGAGGCAAACAACCTATCTATCAATGGAAACTTTAAAACGTTTGCTACAGTAAAACTCATTAATATAAGCGAGACTTCGTGTGCATATACAGTTTATGAATTATGTATGTCCCTGATAAAACGTAGGACATTTTATATCAGATATAATAAAAAATACTTTGCTAAACCTTTTCGGCTGTCATTCCTTTGCATTTAAGGGGAGAGGGTAAATGGGCCAAATGGCGATAGAATTTATAGGAGATGCTGTGCAATATTTTGGCTTCAACAAACAGGTACTCGTGCAGACAAAAAAGGAAATTCTTGCAGTTATGAATTGTCGTATGTCAGCTGTGCACTGTCGATTTCAAACAATTTTGTACGTTATATTTTGTCTTCCTGGTGTTTAATATAAACGATGCCTGGGAACGAGGTTGCATTTTCAGTATTCGCCAGGGCCTTTTTTAACATACAAGCTGGGAGGGGGGTGCAAATGCCCCCCCCCCCACGAAATCACATTTTTCCCCCGCCCCAGGAAAAGTTCCGTTTTCCTAAATTTATACAAACAAACCAGCGAAGAATAACAAATAGACAAACGGAAAGTAAGTTTTAGGCTTTATCCTTTGTCGTTGTTTAACAAAATCGATTTAAATTATTATGTTTTTCTACCACTAAGTAATGATAAATTATTGCAAATAATTTTTCATTTTTTGTGCGTTTTTTTCTTCTTTTATAATTATTTCAAATACAAGTATACTTATAAATTTTAAAACAAATTTGGATGCTCAGAATGCAGGAAATGGCATTTCCTTGCTTCAAATTTCAATTTTTTTCTGGGAGAGTATACCCCCAGACCCCCTATTCATGCGAGGTATGTTAGCCAGACACGTGGCCTTCGGCCATTGCTATCCCCCTCTAATATATTATCTTACAGAATGGTCCCTTTTCAAAAATCCCC